ACAATATTTAAAATGTTGAAAATTATGTAAAAAGTCATGAAAATGTACTTGGTAAACATTTTTTTCTGCTCATATCTAGTATATAGAGACTTTTGGAGTGTAATATTTATGAAATTATTTTAAAAATCCTTATACAGAATGACTAGAAAAGTCAGGAAACACAAAGGTCAAAAGGTGAAATCCAGACTACAGTACAATGCAGTGCCACGTATGAAGAAACAGAGCATGACTCAAATGATCCCAGAAATGCATCCTTCAGGTTATACAGGAACAATAAACCAAAAAATACTGAGTCCGTCAACTTAAGTGCCACAGAAAGGAATTCCATAAATTCATTAAACCTAAACATTTAACCCCATGTTCTCGCATCGTTTCTTTAACAATCATTCTCTCACAGGGAATTCTTTACAGCTGAGGAGGGAACATGCGGGAAAACCTGGAAAACTCAAGATATTTGTTTTAGTTTAGAGCGGTGCATCCACTCTGACACGGAGCCGACGAGTCAGTTCCCGTCGGACGGCGAGACTCGCCCTGTAATAAACGTGTCGCAGAACGCTGTGTTTGAGTTTGTTTACGTGTGTGAGAGCCATCAAATGTATACATGCCAGTGTATGTAAACATGCGAGGACATGTGTGAACGTACACGCGTGTTTAGGCCGTCTGGGTTGATCGCACTCTGACTGTAGTCTAAACACAGCTCTGTGCTCCTGTCGTTTACATCAGCAATTGTGATGCACTCGCTAATGCCTTTCAGATGAAGTTTTCACAAACAACATTATGAAAAGTCACAGCAAACACAATCAGGCTGATTTTCCAGACTTTGCAAGTTCTCGACTGGTTTCAGTGGTCGCTTCCGCTTTACGGGAAATCAAACGGCTGGTTTGACACGTCTTGATTTACCAGAAAAACCACGCAAACCGCCGAAACGTGGAGGTCATCAGTTTTAATGAATGAGATCGCTCAAATGTCTACGTTACACCTGCTTTTGCTGAATCTCCTGCTTCTCAGATGTTTCTCCTGAGAAAAACACCTCTGTGATCTCACATGAGTTTCCTCTGGAGTTCCAGATCTCAGCAATATCGCAAACTGTGCTTGAATTTAACAAGATAATACACACACACACACACACACACACATACATATTTTGCCCCAGGATTCTTTGACGAATAGAAAGTTCAATTAAAAATGTCTTTATTTTCATCCTTGCTGAATAAAAGTATTAATTTCTTTAATAACTTTCAAAATAAATTTCTTCTAAATTACTTACCCCAAACTTTTGAACGGTAGTGTTTAATGTTACAAAAGCTTTCTATTTCAGCTAAATGCTGTTCTTTTGAACTTTCTATCCATCAAACAATCCTGAAAATGTTTTTACAACTTGTCTTATAATCTCTCAAAATATTTTATAAATAGTTTAAAATAATAAATATTTACAAAATGTATTATTATTATTATTATTAAATATAACTCTCCAAATATTGTATTTTATAATAAATATTTTATAAATAATTTATTATATTTTATTTGATAAATTATTCAGTACTACATTATTATTATTATTAATATTATTTGAATATATAAATATTTATAATTATATATTAATATATATGTAATATATCACCAGTCTGATCAAAAAAGTTTCTCTGATATATTACATTTTTAGAAAATAAATAATTGAAATAAATAAATATCCCAAAAATGATTTTTAATCTTGTTTTTTTTTCAGCAAATGAACTAATTTACTGGAATAATAACAAAATTAACTAACAGTAAATTAATTAATTTAACTTTCCAGTAAAATAACATACAACTTATATAAACATAAAACATCTATAGATATAGATATATACATATAATATAGCTTAAGTTTAGGATTTTTTTTGTTTTGTTCTATACATAAAATTTACAACATTTAAGTGAGATTAGTCTAAAACAATGACAACAAAAGACAAATAATCAATAGGAAAATAATAAAGACATTCTGTCTGAAAACGTGTCTTGATACCCTCGAGTAAAATTGATCATGTTTTAAGGATGTTCAGATATTTTATCCCTGAGGAACATTTCAAGTACTAAATTATTTATTACTTTATTTATTAGTAATATAATACAATATAATGAGTGCTGTCAAACGATTAATCGCATCCAAAATAAACATTTTTGTTTACATAATATATGTGTGTGTACTGTGTATATTTATTATGTATATATAAACACACTTGCAGTATATATTTTGAAAATATTTCCATGTCTATATTTATATTCATATAATATATAAATATATTTAATATATAAACAACATATTTGTCTGAAATATATACATGCATGTGTGTGTATTTATATATACATAATAAATATATACAGTTGGATGCGATTAATCGCGATTAATCGTTTGACAGCACAATATAATATAATATAATATAATATAATTCAGGTGTATTTAAGCATCAACTTCTCCTAAAATGTATGAGGAGAAATAAAAAACTGACACAAATGATTTAGTAGTTGCCATCTTGAGTGAACGTGACGTTAAACGAGTTCATATTGAGATTAAATGCAGTGTGAGACTGTGTTGAGATCCTACTGGAACTCTAGAGGAGCCTCATGTGAGACACTACGCTTGCTGCAGTATCTTGTGTTTATTGCTCCAGCGAGAGGCGCGTATGATCCAGATGTGTGCGGGAGCTCTCTTTCTCTCTGTCAGCGCACCTGAAGCTACTGAGCATTCTCAGCGTTTGCTGAACGCAGATGAGGAACCTCTTTGCTTCCTACATCCGAAAGCAGCCTTCAAGCAGCCTCCTTTTCCCAGAGATCAGTATGGGTCACCGTGCCACAGTAATATGGTCAGAGCGGACCATTGGCCCTTGGATAACTGCTCGAGTGCTCCAATGTCACCCTGCTTCTACACAGAGAGGGGACATCTGCTCGACAAGGTGAGAATAAAGAATATATGCAAATATGCTGATACTGTGCAAAAATACACTTTCTTTAACTGTCTGTCTGTGTTTCAGTCCGAGTTTCCATGTTCTGTGTGCTACTGTTCCAACTACCAGACAGCAGAACACATGACAATGTGCAAGGTAAGACAAATCTGTGACAATAAATTCATGTTATCAAAGTTTCAATGTGAATTTTCCATGCAATACAGCAAATACAAAATTCCTCATTTGTGATCGGACATCCTGTTTAATTTCTGCAAAATAGATCTTTTAAACAGTTTAAAAAAGACAATTTTGTAACACTATCACGTGGTCTCGTCATTTTAAACATTGCTCTAAAATGTTACAGTAAAGCCACATGTAGGCACATATTGCAGTTTATTAGATTTTTTTTCATGCCAGTTTTTTTCCAGCCATGATTCAGCACATAAATGTCATTTAGAACATACTGTAGAAGTCATTGAAATTGCATTTTCAAAACAAGATTACTGGAGTGTTTTACAAGAAAATTATATTTCACTTAACTTCAAAATTTCAAGTTTAATTCAAGGTGTTACAAGGTGTGAAAAGTGTTTCTAAACTATTTTTACACCATTATTTACTTCCTGTTGCTCCAGGCAGGTAAATCAGACATCCTCATGGAGAGAGAAATACAACCAATCAGAGATCTGGAAAACGATACAGATGTGAGTGCACTATAATGTGTATGTTTGTGAGAATTCATAATAAAGTTAAGAATATCTTGTATACCTTTGGGGCTTGAAATAGTCAAGTTGGAGGTTATAAGAGGCTGTATGTTCTTAAGAAAATTTTGTAAAAAATGCAGCTCTTTCTTAAGAACATTTCCATTAATCCAGCCTAGTGTTAGTTTAGTATCCTCAATATACTATTATAGTTTTTATAAATATTTTGAATTCATTCAGTTTTCACTTTAATTTTAAAGTTTTAGTAATTTTGTTGTGTGTTTTTGTCATTTTTTTGTTTAAAATTTAAATTTTTTTAAAATTCTAATTTAAAATGATTAACTTAATAAAATTTTTATTGCAGTTTTAGTTTTATTAATTTTAGTACTTCAACTTAAAACTTAACGAAAATGAGAAATACCAAAGCTACTAACAGAAATAAAATACATTTGTTTCTGTTTTTTCATTTTACTTCAATAATGTATTTTAATTAGTGATGTCAAATGATTAATCGCGATTAATCACATTCAAAATAAAAGTTTCTGTTTACATAATATATGAAGGTGTACTGTGTATATTTATTATGTATATATAAATACAAACACATAGAGTATATATATATGTAAAAATATTTACATGTATATACATTTATATTCTTATATTTTATATTATACATAAATATATTTAATATATAAACACAACATTTTTCTTAAATATATACATGCATGTGTTTGTATTTATATGTATATAATAAATATACACAGTATGCACACATATATTATGTAAACAAAAGGTTTATTTTGGATGAAAAATTTATCCAAAATATTAATTAATATTACGATTAATATTCTCATTTTGTCTCTCATAGTTGAGGTATACCTCTGATGAAAATTACAGGCCTCTCTCATCTTTTTAAGTGGGAGAACTTGCACAATTGGTGGCTGACTAAATACTTTTTTTCCCCACTGTATATATATATATATATATAAATATGAGGATGGAAAATAGATTGATCTGCTGTAACAGCACCAGTGAGACTCACATCAGATACGCATTCGCTGGAGAAGACACCCAAGCTCCAGAGCGTCTGCTGAGATTCATTTGACAGATTTGCGTCACATTATCTCTGAAAATCCTCAAATCTCAATCACAGTCTGGCTTCCTTTACAAACACAACAGACTGAAGGGAAGCATGCGTGTCCTCTGTCTGAGCAGGACGAGCAGATCGCAACTACATGATTACACTTTCAGCCAGAGGATTCAGATAGCATCCGTGAGCTAACTCAGGCTTATTGTTTATGAAATGTGAAATCTCAGCACTCTCTGAGATCGAGTGGACCTGAACTAATGGTTAGAGAATGTCACATATCTATTGTACCTTATCTTCCAGTCGGATGAGCCGGGCTCCCACTGTATAATGTTCCTTATCCACACCTTTCTCTGAAAACACAATAAAGAGAAATAATAAGACAGTCAGAAGTAATTCTTTTCTGTATGTAACAGCCAAAAGCTGATATTAATAGTGTCTTATTAAACTTCTTTAGTTTTCTTCACATGTTTCACTACCAAGTGGCTGAAAGCCAGAACAGTACACTTCTATAAATAACTCACATATCAATTTTTAAACGTTAGGTTTATACATTTTGCAGTCTTTTCCCATCACAATTGGCTTTTTCAATCTATTTTATATTTTATATATTTAAACAGGCAGTTCTTGCTAATGTAGCTAGCTTGTGCTTGGAAGGTCGTAAATTCATCAGGGGTGAAAAAAAGTGTTTTTTAAAACATGTAATAATGCTGACTTTTTAATTACGCAGTTTGGGAGGGATTTGTCATTTTTATTATTATTTATTTCGCTCACAATTATTCTTTTTGTGTCTATTTTATATAAAATGGGAACATTATCTGTATGTTAAATTCAAGATCTGCATTTTGTCATTCAATTATACAATTCATGGAAAATATGTTTAGGTGGGAGATTTCTGGCATCTGGTGGAAAACAAACACTTTTAAAACTAAAACAACATGATATTACCACTATAACCAGTAGATGGCCACAATGGATCACTCAATGGCTAATTTATATTTAGACATTATAAATTCACTATTGTAACATTTAAAAATCACTTTTTGTCAAAGAGCAGCACTGTTTTGTACTGAAGTATCAAAAACGCATTGGATCTACTGGAATCACACAAATGACCTACTCTGAGCTAAAAATGCGACATTTTCTGCGAAAGGTGACTAGTTTGCATTACATTTCCCTCCTTTATTCACTTTGGTCTATTCAAGTTGTAGTATGGGAGGCTGCACGTTAATGAGATGGATGTGATGTCTGTATTTGCAAGTATATGTTCTATTAGCCAATCAGAGGTCATTTAACTTGTTTAGAGTGGGTAAAGCTGCTGTATATTGAATTATTGTTGTTATATGTTAATGAGATGCATACGATGTTATAATCAAAATGGTTTCTGCACTTGCGTGTGTTTCCATGTTTAATTTCAATTAACAATCTGGGTTCATTGTTAGACAGTAGATTAAACTCTTTAATTAAAAAAGCAAGTATAATAGATCACAGAAGCATTACGATTAGTGGTCGACCGATATATCGGCCGATATTTGGCATTTTTCAAATATCGGCATCGATATGAAACAAATACAAATATAAACAAATGAATTAAAATGTATACAAAAAGTATTAAAACAATTGCTTTTATATTATTAGTAATAGAAAGGCAAACATTATAATACTTTCTTGTTTGCCATCAGCATTCAGCAAATACACATTTACATCATTTAAACAAATCTTTGAATGGCTAATGAAAATTTAATTTCACAAACCTTGCAAACTTAGTCGGATCCAGTTGTGAGATCTTGTGAAGTGTGCATGTGACCTGCATGATTGCGTGTTCTCTGCGTGACTTTCGGTCCGTGCAAATTGAATGCTTTAAACATTAAATTCGTGATTTCAAATTATGCTGCGCTTTATGCATTTTCCCACTGTCATATTCATGTCATTTTCACTGTGTGCTGTATGTAAAATGAGTGTTACCTTGGCTTTATTTGAAAAAATATGATTCCTAATGCACACAAACTTCCCAGAATACTGAGTGCTCTGTTGGTTACAGTTTACTTCCTTTTTAATTATATTTTTATTAAATATTTATTTATTTGTGGAAAATACTTTGTCATCTAAAGTATAAGTATGTTTATTTAACTAATTTAGTTTTTGATCCACTTTCAAATGATTTTAAATTTCTTAAATATTAATTAAAATAAATACATTTATATCGGCCACCCTGCTTCCCAAGATATCGGCATCGGCAGTCAAAAAACAAATATCGGTCGACCACTAATTACGATTTTGTGCTTATTTTTTTGTGCTTTTTTCATGCATATTGAATTTGTATTTGATGTGGGAACATTTAAAAACTCAGTTTTCCTGTACCTGGCAGGAACATTCCCGGTTTTCCCAACGTGTTATCCAACCTGCGAGAGGAAAAACAGCAGGAAACTGAGAAATACACAGTGATTGTTTGGAAATCCCGCCTACGCCACTAACTTTGTGGGAAGGAACGGGAATAAACACTGAGGTGACGTCACATGGGGTCTCACCTTCTCTGGAGCTCTTTGATGCGGACCATCATGTTCAGGTGGCCCTGCGAATACTGCTCGATCACGTCCCGCACGTCGTACGGTTTCCTCGCTTGCTACGGGACAGAGACGGCATCCATGAGAGCCATTGTCATCACAGCTCCCTCAGGCCTTGAACTTCCTCGCTTTGTTATTATAGCTCAATTTAACTCAATAACAACAATAGCAAAGGTATGCAACTTTTAAAAGCATATTTATTAATTTGGGTTTAGATCACTGTTTTTGAATTGCTTTGGTCTCTCTCTTTTGTAAGTCGCTTTGGATAAAAGCGTCTGCTAAACGCATATATGCTACTGTAATAATTGTTTTAGTAGCTTCTTGACTAATTGGGTTGTTTACAAGAACAAATTTTTGTGTACATTTTTCACAAAACTATTCAAAGTGATTATCTTGTTTTATGAACGTTCAAACAAATTCGATCTGCTCATGTTTCATGAATGAGGCTCATTGAAAGTATGAAAACTAAAGTAATTTTCTTTTTTATTGAATTTTTATAAATATGCACTAAAATATGAAGAGTTCAACAAAGGGTATATAACAAAGTATTGAGATGAAATTTTGTTATTGACCAAATACTTATTTTCCACCATAATTTGCAAATAAATTCTTTAAAAATCCTACAATGTGATTTTCTGGATTTTTTTTTCTCATTTTGTCTCTCATAGTTGAGGTATACCTCTGATGAAAATTACAGGCCTCTCTCATCTTTTTAAGTGGGAGAACTTGCACAATTGGTGGCTGACTAAATACTTTTTTTCCCCAATGTATGTGTGTGTGGTGTGGTAAAAATAATATAATAAGAAAATAGGGTAATAAGAATAGTAAATTTTTCTTATTATATATATATACAGTATACAGTATACACACACACATACACACATATACATATGAAGAGTTCATTTGCAAAAACCGATAAACTTTCCTCTTTCAAAATAAATAAGCTGATTGGCCTGCATTATTCTCCACATATAGCGCGATCTGAACCCTAAACACGTTTTTGTAAAAAAAAAAGCCGGTTTTGTCCACTTTCAAGGCATCGTGGGTTCACATTTTACTGCAGAAGCCGACAAGCGCCCTTGTTGTTTTTGAACAGAAGCCGATAAGTCCATTTTAGCGAATCAGCGCGCTGTATTCAGGTCAGGTGATAAGGCTACTTTCACTTTGAAAAGACTACTTTCACTTTGAAAAGACACTAAAGGCGTAGTTAGATGACGCCGTGACTGAGTGTGGAATCATGGGAGTTGCCGTGTTCATCCCCAAAGCCGACGCAATCTGATGGGACTCATGAAATCATGTTCATGGATGACCTAATGTATTAAAGATTTATTAACGTTGTAGTATGAAGCAGGGTGAGGCTGAAAGCCGTCGAAGCAAAACGAGGCCGCTGAACGAGCGCCACACACGGCTCGAAAGCAGCGGAGCTTTTATTTTGCCACAGTCGACCGCTTCCGCTCCTTCCGGTCATGCGTATGTGGGGTAAAGCAGCACTGTTTTATCATACTAGATACATTTGAACGTTCTGTTATAATGCTACTCTGAGCGGTCGTCACCGGTCTAATAAAATGCACAACATATTAAAGCATCTTTGGTGTTTCCATGTTTTCTACAAAACCGGAAATCGAGGGGTTATGACATCATTGGCAGGCGACACAATAGGACACGGTCCGTGTCACTAGTTAAAATTGCTTATTTCTCTGGATTTAAACATTCTTCGAAACATTTGGGATAATGTAATTACAAAAGTCGGCAAAATATATAAAGCTGTTCTAGTGGTTTTTGGATATTTTAATAAAAAAATCTTACATATTGTGCCTTTAAGTTAAAATTACTTAATCAAAACAACCCAACTGCAGTTTGATTGATATTACTTGGAATGCGCAATGAAACAAACGTGATTTCTGAAGAAAAAAAAATTTAGTTATCGGTATTTGCAAAGGAACTCTTCATATACGTATATACACTGAACAAAATTATGTATATATATATATACAGTATATATACGTATATATATACATATGAAACTGCACTTGATCTCTTGATTCTGACATAAAAAATAAAAGTACCTGAAATTTCCGTCGAGCCACAAAGTACTGCATCCTTCTGATGACCTTGATGGCAGATCTGTGTGCGTGGGAAAGTCTGCAGAGAACAAAATAAACAAACACACAGCGTCAGAAAACACAGCAGGCCTGCTGTCAATGTATGTGTGTGTGTTTGTGTGTACGTGGCAGTAAAACCTGGTGACAATAACAACAGACGCACAGCACAACACACACACACTCTCTCTCTCTCTCTAAGGGAGGGCACTTGTTTTTTTTTGGCTCAAACACCCTGTTATTTCCAGCGTTACGCTGCCTTGCCAAAGTTTCTACGCAGAAATCCATGCAGCAGCAGTCATGTCAGGCTGCGTTCACAGTAAACAGGCCCTAGTGGAAAAACAAAGCTCATTTCTGCCACTCAAGACTAGATAAAAACCTTGACCTTGTGCAGACAAGCATCTCAAAAACATGTCTGGAGTCGAATCAGCTCAGCTAAAGAACTCGTCTGGCCTGTTATCAGTGACCCCAGCGATGACCTTTGACATCAAAGTTCTAGTAAATCCACGACACAGTCTAACGAGAGCGTCTTAAAGGAACAGCTCATCCATAGTGAGAAATTCTGACATTATTCACTCACACATTTATGTCTTTGTTTTGTTTTCATCTTATAAACACCTATATTTGGGATTCACACATAGAAGAAAGTCATACGGGTTTGGGCTGAGGAAATGATGACAGCATTTATTTTGGGGTGTACTGTCTCTTTAAGGGTGCGTGTTAAGTGATTCTGAGTGTGGCGTGTGTGTGTGGGTCATGGTCGGTGTGTGTTAGTGGGATGATCAGTGCGCGTTGGTCACTTAAATTGCTTTACATTCCAGCACACATACTTTAGACAGAGAACTGACTACACTACAGGACAAACACACGGCGCTTGTGAGTGGAGGAAACGTTCAAAAGAGGGTGTCACTTCCTCCAGTTAACAACCAAACAAAGACATGCGTCATGTATGCAGTATATGTACACACACACACACACATATATATATATATATATAAAATATACATTACAAAAAGCTAAATATGTACATACATAAAATAAAGTGTCACTTCCTCCTGATAAATAAATGTATTAAATATAACAAATATTTAATAAATGTAACAAATTCTGTATATAATAGGAAAATAGTAATAGTAATATAAATAAGATATACATACATAAATAAACAATAATAATATTCATTACTATGTGTGTTTGTGTGTGTATGTGTGTGTATATATACAGGTGCATCTCAATAAATTAGAATGTCGTGGAAAAGTTCATTTATTTCAGTAATTCAACTCAAATTGTGAAACTCGTGTATTAAATAATTTCAATGCACACAGACTGAAGTAGTTTAAGTCTTTGGTTCTTTTAATTGGGATGATTTTGGCTCACATTTAACAAAAACCCACCAATTCACTATCTCAACAAATTGGAATACTTCATAAGACCAATAAAAAAAACATTTTTAGTGAATTGTTGGCCTTCTGGAAAGTATGTTCATTTACTGTACATGTACTCAATACTTAGTTGGGCCTCCTTTTACATGAAGTACTGCATCAATGCGGCGTGGCATGGAGGCAATCAGCCTGTGGCACTGCTCAGGTGTAATGGAAGCCCAGGTTGCTTTGATAGCGGCCTTCAGGTCATCTGCATTGTTGGGTCTGGTGTCTCTCATCTTCCTCTTGACAATACCCCATAGATTCTCTATTGGTTTTCAAAAAACACAATGGACCAACACCAGCAGATGACATTACACCCCAAATCATCACAGACTGTGGAAACTTAACACTGGACTTCAAGCAACTTGGGCTATGAGCTTCTCCACCCTTCCTCCTTGGTTTCCCTTGGTTTCCAAATGAAATACAAAACTTGCTCTCATCTGAAAAGAGGACTTTGGACCACTGGGCAACAGTCCAGTTCTTCT